ATGACGGTACATGGTTCAGTGGTTCACTGAACATTTTGATCCCACTATTGAGACCTACTGCTCAGAAAAAATGATTCTTTTCAAAATATTACTGCTTATTGACAATGCACCTAGTCACCCAAGAGCTCCAATGAGATGTATGAGGAGATTCATATTGTTTTTATGCCTGCTAACACTACATTTGTTCTGCAGCCCATGGATCAAGGAGTCATTCTGACTTTGAAGTTACATTATATAAGAAATATATTTTGTAAGGCTACAGCTGCCATAGACAGGAATTCTTCTGATGTATCTGGGCAAAGTAAGATGAAAACTTTCTGGAAAGGGTTCACCATTCTAGATGCCATTAAGAACATTCGTGACTCATGGAAGGATGTCAAAATATCAACATTAACAGGAGTTTGGAAGAAGTTAATTCCAACCCTGTTATGTTTTGTTTATTTGTCTTCTCTAAATCTCATGTTAAATTGTAATCTGCAATGTTGGAGGTAGGGCCTGGTGGGAGGTGTTTGGATCATGAGGGCAGATCATTTATGAATGGCTTGGTGACCTCCTCATGGTAATGGTGAGTTCTCACTCTGAATTCATGGGAGATCTGGTTGTTTAAAAGAGTGTGGCACTTTTCTTCTCTCTCTTGCTCCCACTCTATTCATGTGATTAAGGGGAGCATTGGCTCCCCCTTTGCTTTCTGCCATAGCTGTAAGGTTGCTGAGGTCCTCACCAGAAGTAAATGCCAGTACTATGCTTCTTGTACAGCCTGCAGAACCATGAGCCACAGTAAACTTCTTTTCTTTATAAATTACCCAACCTCCGGGGTTCCTTTATATCAATGCAAATGGACCAATACAAACCCTCATGGATGACTTTGAGAGGCTCAAAATTTACATGAAGGAAATCACTGAAGATGTAATAAAAATAGTGAGAGAACTAGAATTAGAAGTAGAGTCTGAAGATGTGACTGAAATTGTTGCAATCTCATAATAAAGCTTCAATGAATGAGGAGTTGCTTCTTATGGAAGGGCAAAGAAAGTGATATATTGAGATGGGACCTACTGCTAGTGAAAATGCTATGAACATTGTTGAAATAATGACAGAAGATTTGGAATATTACATAAACTTAGTTGATAAAGTAGTGGCAGGGTTTGACATAGTTCACTTCAGTTTTGAAGGTTCTGTGGATAAAGGCTACCAAACACACACTGCATGCCTGTATCAAAACATCTCCTGTACCTCATAAATACTAAATACCTACTATGTGCCCATAAATTTGTTTAAATGCTATCAAAGAGCATGACATGCTACAGAGAAATCTTTCATGAAAAGAAGAGTCAATGGATGAGGCAAATATCATTGTTGTCTTATTTTGAGACATTACCAGAGCTACCCCACCTTCAGCAACAACCACCCTGATCAGTCAACAGCCATCAACATTGAGGCAAGACCCTCCACCAGCAAAAAGATTACAACTCACTGAAGCTCAAATGATTATTAGCATTTGTTAGCAATAAAGTATTTTTAAATTAAGACATGTACATGTTTTAGACATAATGCTATTGCACACTTAATAGGTCACAGTATAGTGTAAACATAACTATTATATGCACTAGGAACCAAAAAAGATTTGTATGACTCACTTTATTGTGATATTTGGTGGTGTGAAACTGAGCTCGCAATATCTCCGTAGTATGCCTGAGTTTTCTTTTTCTACAATTTTGACTACTTTAGATACTTCGTTTGAGTGGAATCATACACTATTTTACTTTTTGTGACTGACTTATTTCACTTACCATAGTGTCCTTCAAGTTCATCCACATTGTAGCATGTAACAGGATTTTCTTCTTTTTTAAATATAAACTTTTACTGTATGCATATATATATTCCAAATTTTCTTTACTTATTCACCTATTCATGAACATTTGAGTTGCTTCCATCTCTTGGCTATTGTGAATAATGTTGCATTGAACATGAATGTGCAAGTATCTCTTTGAAATCCTACTTTGAATTATTTTGATTAAATACTGAGAAGTGATAATATTATAACTAACTTTGAAATTGAGGGCTTAATTTGCTCTGGGCATATATTACAGACTATTTGTGATGAATACAACTTGGCAAACTCAGGCCTTTTAAATCCTGACCTGGATTCTTTGAATGAACTTTAAACTTGTCTCTTAAGCCTTTCCTTGTTCCAATCCTCTACCCAAAGATAGCCCCAGATGACTCTTCCCAAGTGTCATTCTCTACTCAAAGGCCTTTAATGATTCTCCATTATCTGCTCTACAGCCTTTCTCAGGGCCCCAGTTGGCTCTCCCATGAGTCTGTCATGCTCCAAAAAGCTGGCCCACTCACTATTTGCTGAGTACACTTTGTTCTTTCTCTTCTTTGGAGCTTTGTTTATGCCCGAAAATATTCTCTGCTCTTCATTTCTACCCTAAAACCCTACCTATTTCAATATTATCTATTGTCATAATTCTAATTTCCTCCTACCATCTCATCCACCCAAACCATTGTACTGCTTTGGCTATTTCCTTATTGTTTGTCTTTAATTAGATTGCCTTTGCCTATCCTTGCACCTCCAACTGGATTTTAACGCCTTCAAGAAGAGGGATTATATTCTTCTCTTTTTTAAATCATGTGAAGCTCCAAGCACAATGCTTTGCAGGTTGTGTGACGCAGTGCAGGTGAGCCCCCAAATTGGAGCTTAGCCCGCAAGGGTTCTTGGCTTTGCCCAGGAAAGAATTCAAGAGTGAGTCAGTGGTAGAGTTGAAAAATACAGCTTTATTGAAGTGGCAGTGTTACAGCTCTGGCGGTGTTACAGCTCTGGGACTGCTCCTGCAGAGCAAGGCTACCCCATAGGCAGAGAGTAACAGCTCAGGGCAGTTTTGCAGTCATATTTATACCTACTTTAATTACTTGTAGATCAAAGTTTATGCAGAATTTTTAGGGAAAGGGTAGCAACTTCTGGGTCATGGGGTCATTGCTATGGAAGGGAGTGGTAACTCCTGGGTGTTGCCATGGCAATGGTAAATTGACATGGCACACTGGTGAGCATCTTTTGCAGAAAGCTGCCTCCGCCCCATCTCTGTTTTAGCTAGTCCTCAATTTGGTCCAGTGTCTAAGTCCCACCTCCTACTTCACGGGCACTCAACAATACCATGTTGAGGCCAGGCATGGTGGCTCACACCTGTAATCCCAACACTTTGGGAGGCTGAGGCAGGCAGATCACTTGAGGTTAGGAGTTCCAGACCAGTCTGGCCAACATGGAGAAATGCCATCTCTACTAAAAATACAAAAATTAGCCGGGCTAGGTGGTGCACACCTGTAATCTTAGCTACTCAGGAGACTGAGGAAGGAGAATCGCTTGAACCCAGGAGGTGGAGGTTGCACTGAGCTGAGATTGTGCCACTGCACTCCAGCCTGGGCAACAGAGGGAGACTCTGTCTCAAAGAAAGAAAAAAAAAGAAAGAAAAGAAAAGAAAAAACAATAAAACACAAACAAAACAACAACAAAAACAATGCCATGTTGGAAAGACCAGAATACAAAGTAGTTAAAGTACAAGTTGCAGATGAATGGGAATTCAAATCTCAGCTAGATCACTCAGTGGCTATGGAACTTGGGCAAAGGAGTTAACTTCTTTGACTCAAATTCCTTTTCTGGGGGCATGGCATTCATTTTATGTACTATACAATGTTATAGAAAAGTTAAAGGAAAATGTATGTAGAATTGACATGTATTAAATATTCAGTCATGGTAGTGGCAAGTATTTATTTCATAGAATTTTCCTTCTGGAATACCTTGAATACCTTCTACCTAGACATTTCACCTCTTTCTTTTCTAGCCATAGTGATGATCACAGTAGATTAGCCAGGAAGGCCAAAGTAGAATAAGGATGGCCATTTACAGATGAGTATGTATTCATACTAGAATCTGTATTTATTTTGAAATTACTGTAGTACTTGTGAATTAATAAGTTCATAAATATTTACTGAATACCCATTATATAGTGAATGCTGTTCTAGATACTGAGAATACAGCGGTGAACAAGATAAAGTCTCTGCCCTCCACTAATTTACATTCTAACGTGTACAAATACTCCACAGATGTGCAAGAAATATGATGAAAAGCTTATCTATAAAATGGTGCCAAACCCCCTAACATCCCAAACTCAATTTTTTGGCCTTATGACTTAGCTGTTGTGGCAAGCTTGTTTTTTGCAGAGTTCAATAATAGTTGCCCGGAATTTTTTTTTTTTTTTTTCCTGAGACGGAGTTTTGCTTCTGTTGCCCAGGCTTGAGTGCAGTGGTGGGATCTCGGCTCACCGCAACCTCCGACCCCCGGGTTCAAACCATTCTCCTGTCTCAGGCTCCCGAGTAGCTGGGATTACAGGCATATGCCACCACGCCCGGCTAATTTTGTATTTTTAGTAGAGACAGGGTTTTTTCATGTTGGTCAGGCTGGTCTCCAACTCCCGACCTCAGGTGATTCGCCCGCCTAGGCCTCCCAAAGTGCTTGGATTACAAGTGTGAGCCACCGCGTCTGGTTAGTTACCGAGATTTTTAAAAACTAGGACTTTAAGAAGCAATGTGAAGGCAAGCTACACACACACACACACACACACACAACACACACACACACTTAATTCTTTTTTATACTAGGAAAATTGGGATCAATCAGACCTATAAGTCATTGTGTACAACAGGTAGATCTGAGCTTTCTTTATTTCTATTTAAATGACCTTTAGAAGTGTAGTTGCCTGGGAGTGAAAGTTGTTCAATGGTGGCATTTCAGCAGGAGCTCCCAGAATATTGAAGGTCTCCTCTTTGCAGCAACTTAGGTCTAAGTCCTGCCGACGGCAGAGGGATAGACGAATTGACCTTTCCAGGTCCCCTGCTCGCCACCAGCCTCCGGACCGGCGCCACCCGCTCCTGGCGAGACCGGGCGCGGTAGACGCGGAGCGGAGGCCCTCCCGCAGGAGGGGCGCGGGCGTGGAGGGCGTGGGCAGGGGGCGGGGCGAGCCCCGCAGACTGGGTGCTCCGGGGAGCTGTCAGTGTCAGGCTCTGGGAGAGAGGAAGTGATAGCTCCCGGAGGAGCCCGAGCGGAGCGGCCGGCGCAGCGTGAGACAGCACATCCTGCCCGAGCCGGCCCCGCCACCTTCGGGAGTCGCCTGCGCCAACGCTGCCGCCGCCCAGGAGCCGCCGCCGGCTCGGGGAGCCCAGTTCCGCCGCTGCCGAGCGCGTCCAGGTAAACTGGAGCGGGATGTCGCCGTTCCTCGGACCGCCGCCTCCGCACCTCTCCCCAGCCCTCCCCAACCCTCCCCACCCCGGTGTCGTCTGCGCTGGGAACCAGGCTGGAGCCGAGGCCCCTGCAGCCGCAGCCGGACCCTTGCCCTTGCTCCCTGCCCAGGCTCCTGCGTGCTCCGCGGAGCCCGAAGGCGGCCAAAGCCCCCCAGTGGCACCCCGCTCTCGGCAGAGCCGAGAGACTGGGGCAGAGAAGGAAGGGTCGTGGGTCACCACCTGGTCGCCCACCTTGTGGGCTGGGAGGGGCGTCCCAGTGCGCGCCGCCTCAGTCTTCCCGGGGGATCAGAGGGCGAGCTGCGTTGAAATCTGCACCCCTCTGGGCCACCGGCTGACTGCCCCTGGAGGAGGGGGGAAGCTGCAGAGGGAGGGGAAAGGATGCTGTTTGATTACATTTGGAGCTGTCTGCAAAGCTCTTAGATGCTGTCACTACCCTCCAAGTCGGAGGGAGCGAATTCACTTCCAGCAGGGCATTGATTAAACACTTCAAAGCGAGAAGACGCTAGTTTCTCTCTGCTGCGGAAAAAGTGTGGGGAGGGATGTTGTTTTGGTAAACACCTTCCTGGCCGCCTGGCTCTCCTTCCCCTGCTCCCACTCGGAATCGCTCTGGCCTTATAAATTCGTGCGTCGTCATCATAAGGGCAGTGATCCTGGCAGCGCTGATGGGAACTGAGTGTGCGGGAGTCTCATGACTTGTACCTTGGCTAATCAGATTAAACAGAAGCCCAGGATCAGGACAGGAAATTACATAGGAGATCAGAGACTCAACAACATGCAGAAAATGGAATATATTCGCTATTCTGGCCTCTACTAATCCTAGGTAAGGGGCAGGAATAAGTAGCCAGCCATTTTCTTGCTTGGAATGCCTTTCAAATGGGCATTGTAGACTTACTGTAGTTCAGAGTCGTGAAAAAATTGCTTCCAAACATTCCAGATTAGCAAAAAGAACAGCTAACAGTAAGGCATAGGCAACTGCAGGTGACAACCCAATGCCTGATATTAACACAGATATGAGTAACAGTATGTGTACATACTTTAATTGTGGAAATTAGAGAGATATACGTTGATCAGTGTTAGTAAATTTGAAAAGGGCATATTCAGTGCAATTTGCAAGCTGAGGGTACTGGTGAGAATGTAATACTGCCTCTAATTATTTACAATGCCAAGTTTGTTCAAAAAGGTTTGGTGTGGAAAAAGGGGTCCAAACTCAGCTCTTCTGATCATATTTCTCAATAAAATAAAATCTGAGACACCTGCCACTGAGTCACCAGATGTTCTCTTCATAGGAACCAACTCTTGAATATTTGTTTAGGTCTGAGGATCCAGTGCTCCAAGACCCATTCCTCTTAAAACTTCTAGCACTGTCCTTGGGAAGTTTTTAGAATACAGTTGGGGGTCGAATGCAGGATTTTCCAGCCTGTCAAGCTCTTAGCCCTGTTTCTGGCCCACAGCATCTCAGCATTTTACTTTTTCTTCCTTGTCTCAGGCCTCAGATACAAATGCACTTGCTTCCTCCCTCTTTGGACCTCTGAGATGCTGTGCACAGTCCCCTGGAGAAGGAGGAGGGAGTGGCTTGCAGCCATTCCCCACCCCCCAGCCTTTCCTCCCTCTTTGCTACTGAAAACATGCATGGTGGTTTTACTGTTAAAGCTTTAGATAAAATCACCAGTAGGGATATGGGCAGAGAAAATAAACTCGACCTGCAGAAGGGGATCCATGGTCTTCAGTTTCTGACTAACTTCAAAGAGAGTAAGAGGAAGTCACTTGGCATTTCAGTCACCATGTTTTATATCTCAGAGAAGGCTCTAGGATCTTTCTTCTCAATCCCTCTGCTTCCAAAAACACTCCTTCCCGAGTCTACATTTAATAAATGAGCCTTGCCTTTGATGACAGTGCTGAGTCAAGGATCCAGCCTGGGTGCTGCTCTGTCCATACTCAAAACAGCGATGTAAACCAGTCTTGTAAAATGCATGCCAAATCTGAAATCTAGGTACCCCCCTTCGTACGACAGTGTGCACAGGCTTCACCCTGTTACCATTTTCTCCAGTTTCTTTGTTGTTTAATGTAGCATCAAATATAAAGGTCACATGCATCTGTTTCAAAATCTGTTTCAAACAAATATATTCCTCATTACTTTATTCTCCCTGCACTTTGTTCCACCAAATGAAACAAAGATTGATAACAATAGCTAAAATATATTAAGCATTTTACCAGGCATTGAATTTTAAAATACTTTCACAGGTGTTAACTTATTTAAACATCGCAAAAATCTTATGAGGCAGATACTGTTTGTAATCCTGTTTTACAGATGAGGAAACTAAGACACAGCTGTAAGCTGTCAAGTAACTTATGCTCGACTACTAAGTTGAGCAAGGCAGCATTTGAATCAAGGCCTGACTCCAGGCCAGGAGTTTTAACCTCTCTCTTCCATACTATAAAACAATTACAGTGGTTAAGTTTCATATATTGAATGCCAAGCTCTTCTCTTATGTTATCTCATTTTAATTCTTATATTAATCCTATGAAGTAGACATTATTATCCATATTTTACAAATAATAAATGAGTTAAATGGCATACTCAATGTCATTTAATAAATGGCAGAGGTAGGATTCAAATAAGGTCTCTCCAAAGACCCTAAATATAGGACCCATCCATTTTGGCTATTGTGCTGTGTGAGAGGCAAAAAAGACAGTGTATATCTGTTTCTTTCAGGTTTGCTGTCCAATTTCAGGGTGATCCATTGTTATTTTCTTAAAGCCACAAGTATAGCCACACTTTTTGCCAGTTGATTGGTAACTGTGAATAATATATGCACACTCAAAGTAGACCCATGGCCCCTTAAAATAATATATGGCATTGTTTTTGTCTCCTTAATGAAAGTAGCTATTAAACTTTGTGGATCTCAAATGCTGTGTAAATAGTTGCTACCTTAATCAGGGATCTCTTTTACTAGAAACCTTTGTGGCTTCTACATTCCCTAGAGCATGTGAGAACATATATTCTCTTGGGAACTTTGCTGGGACTAGGAGCTTCTAGAGTTGACTTTTTTTGAGAATTAACTCAAGTTAATTCAACTCTCGTTTTTCTTCTTTGCAATGTATAAATCCTTGACCAGGTCCATGTAAAAGTTATTCCTCTTGGCTGGGCACAGTGGCCCACATCTGTAATCTCAGCACTTTGGGAAGCCGAGGCAGGCCAATCACTTGAGGTCAGGAGTTAGAGACCAGGCTGGAGTCTCATGCCTGTAATCCCAGCTACTTGGGAGGCTGAGGCAGGACAATCATTTGAACCCAGGAGGTGGAGGTTGCAGTGAGACAAGATTGCACCACTGCACTCCAGCCTGGGTGACAGAGCAAGACCTTGTCTTTTAAAAAAAAAAAACAAAATTATTCCTCTTGACAGACACTTTTAATCAATATCCTGGACTTGTGTTCCTTGATTCCTCTCTGCATGAGGCCTGGCCCCAGAATCTCAGAGTGAAGTTTCCATTGTAACATAGATACCACTGCCTAGGTGCTAATCCTCATGAGCTCACATATTCATAAAACGTCCTTGATTCTTTGTTGGCGGAAACTTCTTAAACAAAAACCCATAGATACTGTAAAAGGGAGGCATATGAATGGTTTTCAGATGGTCGTTGAACCCACTAAAATTGATGCAAATTTTCATGCATTTGTGCATAAATGTAGTTTTCTAGGGAAAAAATGGGGATATTGCTAACTAAAAATACATGAAGAATCACTGGTTTACATATGCTGTTTAAAAAAGGGGAGAGGAGCAGAGGTCACTCTACTGAAATGTATCGAAGACAAAGCCAAACTATCCTACCAGTGGCAGCCACAAAATAAAATGTTCTTGGCTATCAGGACATTTTTTGGCGTTTCACCAGGAGTCCAGGTGGCAGGTACAGCAAACATCAACTGACAGTGAGTCAGGCCTACAACTGAGTCAGGCCTCCAGGCGTGGCAGGCAGTCCTAGCTCAGCTTGTCATTCATTGAGCACCTGCCCTGTGCACAGTCAGTGCTTTACAGATGTGTTAGTTCGTTGAATCATCCCAGCATCCCTCTAAGGTGGACATTTTTCTCTTTCTTTGACAAACAAGGAGACACTTGGAGGGATTAAGTCTCTTGGTCAAGGCCCCATGGAGCCAGATAGTGGAAGGGCTGGATTTGAAATGCAGGTCAGCCTGATTCCAAAGTCTGCTTCTTCTCTTCCTACCATAGCTTATTGTTTGTCTGCCTGTGTGGGATACCAAAAAAAGTATTGTTTAGTGTAGCTTTTTATTGTCGCAGGACTAAGAGTCCCTCAAGAAATATGTTCACACACTGATAGGAAAAGCTTAAAAGTGTTATCAAAGGAACAACAACAAGTAATATGTCTTCCAATGTGGCAGAAGAAAAGCCAAGCCCTGCTTTACTTAAGGTGAGTTGAAGCTCCACGTTTGCTTCCCCTGTCGCCAGGTGTCTTGCCGAGTACCAAATGCACAGCAGCCCCCACCTGAAAACTATCTTGCAGGGGTAACTGCAAATCAAAACTTTAATCATTGCAAAGATGAATTTTCTTTAAGGCTGTTCTGTCCTCTCGGGCTTCCGTGATATAGCAGCTGTGTCATGATCCGGAACACTGACTCGCTCCTAAATCCTGGGAGGGCCGCTGCTTGCCAGATGACTTACGTGCTCTTTAGTTTTCAATTCATATCAGTCTTGAAATCCTCTTAAGCAGCTGTTCTTGCTTCCAAGTTATTACTTACGCCCTAACAGTTTTCTACTTACCTATATTCTTGCTATGATCCAGAACAACCCACTGTTTCATTTTGGGGTACAGAACAGCTGATGCCATCAATGTGGCAAACACACAAAGTAGAAATTTCAGTCAGAGTTGAGGGCATTCATAATAAAAATAATGAATCTCAAGCACTATAGAGGATGATTGTACTTGATCAACA